AGAGCAAGAAGGACTACATCCAGTCAGTGGTGCATGCAAAGAGCAACGTTATGCTGGTGCACACTGGTAGTATAGAACAAACAAGATAATTATGAACTAGTTTACCAGGTGCAGTGGTACGTGGATTTTCTATTGTGGGGTTGACCATTCTACATAAAATGGATTCCAAATCTCATGTGTACTGCACTATACAATACAGGCTATAGATAAAAACTTAATATGAAGCAGCAAGTATTTGCCCTGATAATATGAGATTTCATTCTGTCTATATAAAACTGCATTGTTGGTAACTGGGCTTGTAAGTAAGCATTTCACTGTAAGGTCTACACCTGTTGTATTCGGCGCATGTGGCAAATAACATTTGATTTGATTTGATATAGGAGTTATGGAGGATGACTGTTATTCTACTCCTCCTACGGCAAGTCAATATTCTCCATCGCCATGAGAGAATTCTTGCACAGACCGAGACAGACAGACAAACAGACAGACAAGCAGGCAGGTCTGTTCCTACTGCTGCTCTCCTCTTAGGCCATGCAGTGTCAATACATCTCTCTGAGTCTGATCAGACAGGGGGACAGTGCCAGAGAACCAGATTAACCATAATGCAGGCTTTCACTGTAAAGTCAGACAAATCATACTAGGAGGATTATGGACAAAAATAAGAACGGATATGTTTGGAAATCTGGAAACTTGTTTATTCATGACGACCCTCTGTTTGCTTTATGCAAACATCACTGAGAGAGATGAGTGACAGCAGTAAGCCTATGGATATCTTCCAAATAAGATGGAAGTGGTACAGGATAATGAATAGTGAGCTCATTGATACATGTATGGCATAAATAAATGGTGATCAGCTATGGTTATACATTATGCCCTGTCTAGAGACAAAAGACATAAAGTTGCTGACATGCTGTTATGACATCAAATTAAATCGAACATTTCAAGCCATAAGTTTATGTTTATGTTCTTATACTTCCTTAAAGAGTAACTTTTTTTCATTGAAAACCAGATGTTTTAGGCTTAATTATAGTGAAACACATCAAGTCTGGTCTTCATTTTGACAGTTCGTTGCAAAAGTCTCATACACTTAGTGTACAAAACATTAGGAACACCTTCCTAATATTGAGTTGCACAACCTTTTGCCCTCAGAACAGCCTCTACTTGGATGCTGGCCCATGTTGACTCCAATACTTTCCACAGTTCTGTTAAGTTGGCTGGATGTCCTTTGGGTGGTGGACTATTCGTGATACACACAGGAAATGGTTGAGTGTGAAAAACCCAGCAGAGTGGCAGTTCTTGACACACTCAAACCTGTGCGCCTGGCACCTACTACCATACTCCGTTCAAAGGCACTTAAATATTTTGTCTTGCCCATTCACCCTATGAATGGCCCACATACACAATCCATGTCTCAATTGTCCCACAGCTTTAAAATCCTCCTCTTCATCTACACTGATTGAAGTGGATTTAACAAGTGACAACAACAAGGGATCATAGCTTTCACCTGGATTCACCTGGTCAGTCTGTCATGGTTCGGTATGAAATACACTCCCTTCTAGATGTGCTGGCTGGTACGACGTCAAGGCTTGCTATAAAAGCAGGTAAGCACGCTTTATTTGGCAATGGTTTTGGTAAATGGAGTGTGCCAATATATTTTGCATGATGCGTTCTTGACTAGGGCACATTCATATGTTGCTAGATGGCACATTTCCGGACATGACCAAATTCAATGTTTTTGTTTACCTTTTCATACACATCTATGTGCTTTTACGAAGAAAATAATAACATGTAGGCTATGAGGATTATACCTTTATATTTGTAGCTACATCCATCTTAACAAGAAATAGAGGACAATCGTGGTCATGTCAACTCCTTGTCTTTTTCCCCAACCATTATGACTGATTGGTGGCACAGTTGGCTAGTTGGCTCATAGTTCAATGATTGTGAGTTCTGATCCCACATGGGGCAGATACATGCATACCTGTATATATTTTTTATCCTTTACTTACAATATTCACCCCATGCCCACACACTTCTAATTCTGAAAAGTGAAAGCATACCTGTGAGAGGGGTCGCACTGGTAGTAGTTGTAGGTTTTATACAGTACCCAAGACCAATCTGTGAGTTAATTTGACCGTTGGAAAAAGAGGTACTGCGTAAATACTGCAATGCCGGTTGGATTGAATTGAGCGCCTAATCTTCATTTTCAAGGTGACGATTACACTTTTCTTCCCAACACAATACCACAACAAATGTGAGTCCACTTTTCAAAGATGTATTTTAAGCCCCATCAAGGATTCGAATTTACACGGCAAGCGGCAACAGATGTCAGGAACTCGGCGTCTCACCACTGTGAGCTTATTGTCCAGAGGCGTTTTTTCTCGCGATGCACATACTGTTATTATCAGAGCGTGTCAGTGGACTTCTGGTAAGTATGTTTTAGTGAGACGGTGTTGGGATCAGGTACAACTACGTTTACCCACCCCCAAAATGAATATTTCTTAGCAATTCCCCCACCCACAACTTCTCAACTGAATGCATTCAGGTGAGAAGTTATGTGTGGGGGGAATTGACATTTTGAAGGGGTTGGGCAAAGGCTGAAATTGGGGTTGACAGTTACCCTTTAAAGCATTTGAACTTGAAATGAAATATTTAGATCCTCCCAAACATGTTCAATTAAAAAGCAATAATATCAAGTATCAAAACTGACCTCAGTTTACCTGGTTATCGCTGCAGCATGGACACAAACCACACCACTTATTCTCGTATATTCTTCAAGTCTCACAGACACATCGAGAAGCGAACTCCAGTCTCCACGATTAACTTGACAATACGATTTACAATTCGATCATTCAAACAAGTTCAATCGTTTTTTCAAGGTTGTCGGATGCGACTTGGAGAAATGTCCAGCGAGATGCGCACAGTGCGTGCTTGTCACATCACAAGCATGGTTAGCTGCGCCCACTTGTATCAAAAATGTTAATTCTTCTCGACGAACCCCAGTAAGAATAATTATCGGTTGTTCGTGTTCAGTGATGTGTAGTGACTGTCTATTAAAAAGAGAAAGGTGCGCTGCCCACTGATCTTATAATAGAAAATATAGTGTGACTCCAGTTGCACCACGCGCTGCGCTCGTGCACACCTACCACTTGCCGACTCTGTTCTAGATATGACACGCGCTCCCAGCATCATCAGCAGCAGCTCTAGAGCTCCTCTCACCAATCTGATTATAAAAACCATGGCCGCAGTGCACATTAATCCAGATTAAATAATCCAGCCCCAACACACTCTCTCCACACTCTCTCCATACTCTCTCACTCTCCATCTCTCTCACTCTCACCCACAGACACACACGCACACACCTAGAATGAAACAGAGATGCTCAGTTGGTGTTGCTTCTATAGCCTACCTCTCTTTTTTTTTTTTTTTACAAGGTTTAGCTTTATTCTGAAGTCATTACATAAATTCAAACAATTGTGAAACCACATATGAAATGGCCAATATATTCCTTCACACCAGCAAGCCAATAAAGAAATATACAATCACATTTTGAGTCAGTCTATTTTTCACAGGCCATGGATGTTATGAGAATGCTCTCAACCCCATTCAATAGAAACCTTTATTAACTTGTCCTATAGATAAAAAGAGCAGGAGTCAGCTCTCTGGCCTGGAGCAGGAGAACACTTAAAAAAGCAGGGGAAAGGGATCAAATAATGAATAGGGCACTCCATCAATCTTGGCCTATACAGAGAGCCCTGGAAATGACAAGGAACAGGGCATAGTGTTCAGACTCACTGCTGCAGCTGGGGAATACTCTCTCTCTCTCTCTCTCTCTCTTCTCCATATATCTATAGATATATCTATCTATACATATAAATCTTCTGCCTTTATGTATTATTATCTTATGATATATATATCTATATATATATTATCGCTCTATCTTATCTCGCTCTATCCTATAAAACATATAAATATCCTGATTTCTGTCTTCTTCTCTTTGCGCTCTCTCCTCTCTCTATATCTCTCTCTCTCTCTCTCTTCTCTCTCTCTCTCTCTCTCTCTCTCTCTCTCTCTCTCTCTCCCCCTCTCACTCTCCTGCTTTCTGTCTTCTTCTCTTCTGCTCTCTCTCCTCTCTCTCTCTAGGATAACACCCTATTAGAGGATACCTTTCTCTGCCCAAAGGAACAGTTCTTGTTGTAGCTATTCTCAAGGATATTGTGACATCACGCCATTCATCCCTCTCCTCTAACACGACACTGATGTCACTGATGTTATTTTCTTACAATGGGAGCAGAGCCAACATACTGAATACATAACCTATATCAAGCAGATTCATCTCTTTCAAGTCCTATATTGACATGGTCTGCATCTTAAATGGAACCCTTCTCCCTACATAGTGCACTATGTTCAGCCAGGGCTCAAAAGCAGTGCACTATGCAGGGAATAGGGTGCCATTTGGGATGCAGGCATGGTCCAATGGCTTCCTCAGAGGTCCCTGATATAAATTAATAAAGACACATTTATTCTGTGGGGTACATTAACATATCATTATAATGACTGATTTACATAAGAATACATTTGCACAGACTATATTTAGAAACCTGATATCAGATAGTACATCTAGCAACATATGAATGTATTAACATATGGTACTATGATAATTGGGTATTATCATATAGTAATTAGACAACTCTATATTGCTGTATATTGGCCTAATGACTGATTTATCTACAAATTGTATTCAGACAATGTTGTTCAGACTTTGTTTAGACCTAATAATATAATACAGTAGATCCGTGGTCTTATCTGGCATATAGGCATTATGATAATTAGACTATTGTATAATACTGTGAATATTAGATTGTGAAATGGAATGAGCACTTGGGCCCAGGGGGTTCTCTAACTAACCACTCCCCATCTATCCATGTGTGTGTTTGTGTGTGTTTGTGTGTGTGTGTGTGTCTCCCCTTGCATACCTTGCCATCTGTTGACATATGCAGCTGTTCAAAAATAGCCCTCTCCATGGCACCAGAAACTTCCCTGAGTGGCCCACAGATAGGCTCTAGGCTAAGGACTAGTTGTGTGTATGAGAGTGTGTGTCTGCACAAAGACCATGCGTTTACTACCGACTCTACTCAAAATACGGAAGACACCGTAAGATCTTTGGATAGAGGGCCACTGTACACCTTTTGTATGGTTTTGGTTGGGGGTGTATTTGTTTTGTTTTGGGGAGCATACCTTTATTCAGATCCACAGGCGACAGGCCTACTCTTTAGGCATATAATTTCCACTGAAGTGACTGTATCCAGTCCACCAAGTCACTTTGAGACATGGAACCTTTACCTTTTCCTGACCAGTTTCAGGAATTCCACCATATCCATGGAACCAACGTGCGGCTAGACCCTACGGGGACCCAGGCTACCCGAGTGGAAAGCTTTGCCAACGGGGTGTGCTTTAGCAGAGAGCCCCTGAGTCCTGGGGAGATCTTCCTGGTGGAGATCGAGGAGAAGGAGCTTGGCTGGTGTGGCCACCTGCGGATCGGGTTGACCGCCAGAGACCCTCTGGCCCTTGAAACGGTGCCTGAGTACTCCCTGCCGGACCTCATGGACCTGGGGGACAGCTGGGTGTTTGCTATCACACGCAACCACAACCGGGTGGTGGAGGAGGAGGCAGTGGCACCTGAGGGAGAGGGGGCAGGACATGGAGGGTTGGCCGGGGGTCATAGGTTAGGGGACGGTAGGGAAGAGGGAGGTAGGAGGCTACCTAGGCTGGGGGGTGGTGATGTGGAAGAAGAAGCGATTAATCCCAAACCCAAGACGTTCTTCACAGACTCCCACCTGCACATTGAGAAAGTTAAAATCCCCATGGACAAGCTGGTTGGTCGGAGTCGACCCGGACGTTTCAGCCACATCCTGGACGACCTATACAAGACCAATGCCCTCCCCCCCACTGCCAGACGTAGCCGGATAGGGGTGCTGTACGTGCCCAAAGGACAGGGCCTGGCTGACATGCATGTTGTCATTAACGGGGAGGATATGGGTGCATCAGCTAAGGGCATCCCAATGCTGCAGCCTTTGTATGCTGTGGTTGATGTGTACTCTGCTACAAAGCAAGTCCGCATTGTCCAGGTGGAATATGGATGTAAGTGTCAAGTGAATGAAACCAAAACATATACAATATAAACATACAATTATTTCAGACTGAGGTCGTTGTAGTTTCTATTAATTGGTTTTAACAAGGCCTTTCTCTCTTTCTTTTCTCATCCATTGCTTCAGTCTCCTCCCTGCAGACTCTGTGTAGAAAGTGCATCCAGAAAAACATAGTCCACAGGATGGCTCTGGACTGGCTGGAACTGCCAGAGAAACTCAAACACTACTGCAAGTATGAGTGACAGACGGAGCACTTTGGACTGAGCACCTCCTGAAGAAGCTTCTCACAAGAGCCGAACTTAAGATCCAAGTGGTTTATGCATTTCAGAAAAGACAAATGTACTTCATGTGTTTACATTTTTGTGATCTTCTTTACAATGAATCCCTGGTCTCTTACCAGTTATGTTTTCAATTACTGATTGACTTGTTCTTTTTTGTCAGAGTCAGAGATGCTATTTTTGAAAACTGGTAAATAAATGGATGACATCAACATCTAATGATCTATTTTCCTCCTATATCTACGGAACAGTTATTTGTGTCCGCTGATCATGTGTCTCGAAAAAGTATTCAAGATGTGTCACTTACTTAGGCTACTTGTAACTCACTTGCTTTGCCAGTACTTTCTCCAAAGTTCACTTGTTGAGTTTCACTGTTTGTCCAACAGTGACATCTAGTGGTCAAGATTTGAACCATGGGCAGGGCTTGCATAATACAACTTGGTCACATGTGCGGAAGCTTATCTTGTAGCCCGACCCATTCTGTGCTGCCGGTCTATTTAACTGTCGCTGTCAAAGCTCATCTCCACAAATAGTGTTCTCACTTTACATTCAGAATGTCTTTTTGCTCATTTTTTGGTGGCGAGGTCTATAAAGACCATTTCAAACCAGGTGAGTATTTCTGTGACTAAGCAAATTTCTGCTTTGATTGGTGTTGTAACTTGCTCTTGTTTCAGGATTAAATACTACAGGCAAATCGGTTATTTAATCTGCAGGTTAGGCTACTACTCTTGTGTTATACAAGGTTTGTATAAAAACCTCACTACATCTAAAATAGCCATTACATTTGTTATAATGCAATTTAAATATCTTGTTACATACATAATGTGTATCTTTCCTTAATGAATACTTAACCCTCTACACCCCTCTACCTGGTTCCCTCCAGGTATGTATGTGTGTTCTCAGTGCAACAACCCGCTGTTCTCCAGCAGGTCTAAGTTCCCCCACTCCTCCCCGTGGCCTGCCTTCACTGAGACCATCAAAGAGGACAGTGTCACCAAGATGATGGAGTCACTCACAGCCTTCAAGGTAGGCTGACTCTCCTAGAGACTTACATGACTATCCTAGATTGTGCCTCTTAACACAATCTTAAATGGCTGTAAATATCAGAGTTGACCTTTTAATGGGATAGTTCACCCCAAAATCACAGTGTCTCTTCCTACCTCAATAGTGGTGTAATGTTGTGGTAATGGTGTCCAGGTGCTTTGTGGGAAGTGTGGTAACGGACTGGGCCATGAGTTTGTCAACGACGGTCCAGAGGAAGGCATCTCGCGCTTCTGAATATTCAGCAACTCGCTCAAGTTTGTCCCAAATAAAGGTGACGTGCCAAAAGACTGAGCAGAAAACATAACTGTTTGGTTTATGTATAGTTGTGTTAATATTAACCCAGTTGAATGAGGATTTGCCTTTGTAAAAAATAAAATAACTTCCATAATTTGACTCGCATTTGCTTTTCTATTTGAGTGTGTACTAAAATGCACTCTCCTCTCTCTCTTCTCTCTCTTCTCTCTTCTCTCGCTCCTCTCTCTCTCTTCACTCTCTCTCTCCACTCTCTTCACTCTCCTCACCTTGCTCCAGACAAACAGTAGGTCGAGTTGAGGACCCCAAGCAGGTAGCTGTAGCCTCACATCACAGCCCTGTGGAAGGGACTGGTCAGTATGTGACGTGGACAGGGACAAGGCCCAGGAGGGACACCCTGTACACTGATGATTCTATGACCAGCCTGGAATACAGGGACTTCAGACAGGGACATTCTAGAAAAACATTATTTTTCCCCAAGGATAGTTGTTCCAGAGATGTGGTAGTTTTTTCAGTGCATTACAGATACACAAGCCTTCCTTGAAAACCTCTTATAATAAGCATGCAAATTTAGTTTACCTTTAAGATATAGGTTACGTTAAGATATAGCCCTATGGTAGATGATATGTTTTCTATGCTAATCTGCATTCCATTGCTTTGTGGCAGCTCAAGCAGGTGAAGCAATTTTAGTTTTTTATTTATTTAATTATTTGATTATTTATTTGAATATACTTACCATGTATTCCTTAAGGATGTGACACAGTTGGTGCAAGATGTCATGTTCTTGAAAAAAATATCTTACCACAATTTACCCAAAGCCATACGCAGGCTTGCTATCACATCCATGCATTTGATGTACATGTACACTTCTCATTGAAATAGCACTTCCTTATATTATTTAGATAAATATGTAACAATTAGCTGAATTTTGGTTGTACGGACCATTTGTGTTTTAACATTGCTACAGTATATTTGCACATTCAGCCATGTAAGATGGCATACTTGAATTGACTGGCATGGTTACTTATTATTTAAATGATCTTGTATGTCATTTATGACTATGAGTCTTCTTTTGTGTGATTCCTATAACATTACTTTAATTAATACATGTTCTTAACTGGCAATGCAAATGAAATAAACAATGCTTGTTCCGGTATTAAGAACATTGAGCAGATAAAATGCAGATGCTCTGTTTATCTGTCATAATTATATTGATACAACAATAAATGACTATAGTTTACTAAAAACCATAGCCTCTATTACATTGTCTCTCGTTATTTACTCAGAAATTGAGGAATCAGTCAGAATTGAGGTTATAGACGTTTGCAATTTATGTCCAGCAGGTGGGGCTATCTCTGTAAATGAGCCACTGAAAGCACCCCCCAGCTTGGCGAATCGGATTCTGTATTACTGGTCGTGGGAGAGGAGTCTTTTAAAGTAAGGAAAACGCTCACCTGAATTGGCCAGGTTTAGGTTGGTGGAACTTGAGGTGTAGATTGTTTGAACAAAAAATGTAGCTGCGAATTGTACACTGTAATGTGTTTAATGTCTTCATGATGCTTTTTTAGTTATTTGATGATGTACCAATGGGCAAGGGTTGGTCTCTCTCTCAGCTGGAAGTCATTCTGTGGGCCTTGGCAGTGGCACGAGCGGACCCTGTGGGGGAGAGGAGTGGCCCTGCAGACCAGCTAGACTCAGAGGGGTATCATTTACTGTACCAGCACGACTGACACACATACATAGACACACTGCCCTGTCACGCGTCACATATGTGTCTGAAGCAGTTCCTACTCTGCTGTATGTGGCTTGAGGGAGCTGCTGTGTGTTTTTGTGGATTTCACCACAAGTGTTATGCTTATTTTCTTTAAAAAGATTGCTCCTTGTAGTGAACATTTACAGTATGACTCAATGTTTAAGAGAGTGTACTAGAGCCCATTAAAACATAACAGAGTTCAGACATTTTTAAACATATAATCAACACACTGAAGACCTAAACATTAGTATAAATGCATACATTTTGACCTACGTATCGCTCAGTTACGCCCTTTGAAAACCAACATATGATCTCAACTCCATTAGGGTTAAACTGTCTGACCTGGCTGTTGTCATTGCAGTCAGAAAAGAAGAGGAAGAGAGGCCCAACTCAGCGGAAAGTCTGTTTCCCTCCAGTGTGGGGATCTATTTTCTTGTAACTGGATGTGATGCCTAGCTTAGAAAGAATGCATTAATGATTAAACATAAAAGGTTTGTACTGTACTGATATAAATTGTTTCACATAACAAGCTGTGATTCATGTGAGGAATGTTAGGAAGTAGGGTGAGACAGACTTGTATTTCTCACAGACACATACACACTGCCTCTTTGTTAAACCGCGCTCAAGGACGTGTACTGCAAAAAGGTGCTGACTCTACAGGTTGTGATGATAACAACTTATGCCTGGCAACAGTGTGCAACGGTAAAGCGCCAAGGGGCTGGGACCAGCCTGTGCGCCAACGATTGGCTGAGTAAGTCTAAACCACGCTCAGTCTCTACTCTGATTGGCCAGCAGGGAGCGGGAACTATCTCTGTCAGAGTATTTGAAGAAGAACTTAGAACAATGGATCAGTTCTCTGAGTGCCCTGCGCGGTATTTCAGTGGACCCGTATATACGAACATCATATTTACCATTGAAGGTTTTGCATTAATTAAAATACTAGTCTATTTTAGAAGACGTGTATTGACCTCTTTTGTTCCTAATACCAGATTTGAATTGACGCAACTTAACAATTGGTGACCACCGACTGTGATCTGGTAGAAGGGACTTCGCTGGGTATTGTCCGGCCCATTGGACATCGCTGTCATTGAACGGTGTGTTTCACAAAGAGTCCGGACTACTAAAAACAGGTAAGCAGACACCTATTGTTATATACAGTGGGGGAAAAAAGTATTTAGTCAGCCACCAATTGTGCAAGTTCTCCCACTTAAAAAGATGAGAGAGGCCTGTAATTTTCATCATAGGTACACGTCAACTATGACAGACAAAATGAGAATTTTTTTTCCAGAAAATCACATTGTAGGATTTTTTATGAATTTATTTGCAAATTATGGTGGAAAATAAGTATTTGGTCAATAACAAAAGTTTCTCAATACTTTGTTATATACCCTTTGTTGGCAATGACACAGGTCAAACGTTTTCTGTAAGTCTTCACAAGGTTTTCACACACTGTTGCTGGTATTTTGGCCCATTCCTCCATGCAGATCTCCTCTAGAGCAGTGATGTTTTGGGGCTGTCGCTGGGCAACACGGACTTTCAACTCCCTCCAAAGATTTTCTATGGGGTTGAGATCTGGAGACTGGCTAGGCCACTCCAGGACCTTGAAATGCTTCTTACGAAGCCACTCCTTCGTTGCCCGGGCGGTGTGTTTGGGATCATTGTCATGCTGAAAGACCCAGCCATGTTTCATCTTCAATGCCCTTGCTGATGGAAGGAGGTTTTCACTCAAAATCTCACGATACATGGCCCCATTCATTCTTTCCTTTACATGGATCAGTCGTCCTGGTCCCTTTGCAGAAAAACAGTCCCAAAGCATGATGTTTCCACCCCCATGCTTCACAGTAGGTATGGTGTTCTTTGGATGCAACTCAGCATTCTTTGTCCTCCAAACACGACGAGTTGAGTTTTTACCAAAAAGTTCTATTTTGGTTTCATCTGACCATATGACATTCTCCCAATCCTCTTCTGGATCATCCAAATGCACTCTAGCAAACTTCAGACGGGCCTGGACATGTACTGGCTTAAGCAGGGGGACACGTCTGGCACTGCAGGATTTGAGTCCCTGGCGGCGTAGTGTGTTACTGATGGTAGGCTTTGTTACTTTGGTCCCAGCTCTCTGCAGGTCATTCACTAGGTCCCCCCGTGTGGTTCTGGGATTTTTGCTCACCGTTCTTGTGATCATTTTGACCCACGGGGTGAGATCTTGCGTGGAGCCCCAGATCGAGGGAGATTATCAGTGGTCTTGTATGTCTTCCATTTCCTAATAATTGCTCCCACAGTTGATTTCTTCAAACCAAGCTGCTTACCTATTGCAGATTCAGTCTTCCCAGCCTGGTGCAGGTCTACAATTTTGTTTCTGGTGTCCTTTGACAGCTCTTTGGTCTTGGCCATAGTGGAGTTTGGAGTGTGACTGTTTGAGGTTGTGGACAGGTGTCCTTTATACTGATAACAAGTTCAAACAGGTGCCATTAATACAGGTAACGGGTGGAGGACAGAGGAGCCTCTTAAAGAAGAAGTTACAGGTCTGTGAGAGCCAGAAATCTTGCTTGTTTGTAGGTGACCAAATACTTATTTTCCACCATAATTTGCAAATAAATTCATTAAAAATCCTACAATGTGATTTTCTGGAATTTTCTTTCTCATTTTGTCTGTCATAGTTGACGTGTACATATGATGAAAATTACAGGCCTCTCTCATCTTTTTAAGTGGGAGAACTTGCACAATTGGTGGCTGACTAAATACTTTTTTTCCCCACTGTAACTAAAGTTCTGCACATTGGCTTTATCCAAATTAATTTTGTGAAACACCTGTTTGATGTAAGTGAACTAAATTATGAAACTATTATGAGTAGATAAGCACCATATTGTGACATGCAAACCTGTGGTGAATGTGATGTTAAACCATGGTACCATAGAGTATTTGTTTCTACCGGCAAGGTCCGTAACTACGAGGGTACGGCTAGGTTCGGAGAAAATACTGACATCTATCCGCAAGGTCCGTAACTGCGAGGGTACGGCTAGGTTCGAAGATACAGGGAATAATTGACTTAAGTAATTGCTATCGGCAAGGTTCGTAACTACGTGGGTGCGGCTAGGTTAGAAGAATTACACCGGCAAGGTCCGTAACTTCGAGGGTACGGCTAGGTTCGGGAAATTTTAACGTAACTAGTACGGCTATGATCGTAGGAGCACTTTAAAGTACACTATAGTGTTGCGCTTTGGCAGGGAGC